CTCTCTCTCTCTCTCTCTCTGTCCCCCTCTCTCTCACCCCCCCTCCCTCTCTCTCTCTCTCCCTCTCTCGTTCTCTTCCTCTCCCTCTCTCTCTCCCACCGCGCCCGTTCGTCTCGTTTTCCGAAGCATTTTCTCTCTCCCTTCCTTGTCCCCTGTCCATGTCGCGTCTGATTGGCTGACGGTTTTGGTGACAACAGCTGAGCAGGACACTATAAAGGAACGTACCTACCTGTTCTCAGAAACAGAATTTCCTCAGCATTCACCGCGACAACCTTGCTCATTTTACTACTACATTGTTCTCTTGCCTCGTGCAACTGTTACAAGCAACTCCAACGATTCTATTGGACTATTATTGTGCTAACAGCGAATCTTGACACGTTTCTCACCTATCTTCAGATAAGACAAGAACAGTTTGAAGTTAATTTTGCAAAGTCTTTGAAGTCTTATCATGAAGATGGCTGATGTTTCCGACAAGCACGTGCATTGCGCTATGCTCGGAGATGGCATGGTCGGAAAGACCTGTCTCACACTCTCCTACACAGAAAAATCCTTCACGGAGACCTACACTGCTACAGTCTTTGACAACTACCCTGGTGAGTTATATCTTTGTTTGCTGTTTTATCTTTTTCATCGTTGTTCTTGTTCTTTTTGTCATCACTCACCATTGTTGATGTTTATCTAATCAGTAGCAGCTATAACAAGTGAAAAGGCAACAAGAGATATATTATATTTTACTCCACATAAAGACTTCATCCAACAATAAACATTATAACTACTGTGAACGATGGCAACCATGTACCATAATGCAAAACGACGAAGGCAGCAATATTGTATAATGACATCAGAAACATCTTTCTTGGTTTCTTATTTAATTTGTATTCCGGTTTTCATTTACTGGTATACATGTTTTTTAAAACATTTCTTCCTCTTGGAATTGTGTTGTTTCTATTGTTTATTGTTTGTGTAAGGCTATGATTTTTCAGAATTTGATTTAAAAAGAAGCAGAAAACAGATTATGATAATAATTCGATAACTGCATCTGTAAGCTGAATTCTTACCATAGCGTTTCTTCTTTTCTTATTTCAGTTCCCCTTCAAGTTGGAGGACAAGACTTTATCATCAGCCTGTTCGATACTGCTGGACAGGTAAGCATCTTATTCTATTTCCACCGTCTTTGCGTTTGTCATTTTAGAGATTCGTCAGGTTTGCTTCCGACCTCTTTAGAAGCCTTGTCTAATGTGTAAAAACTAAATACGTCAGACATCAAAGCAAAAAATATCAGACGAATGTGTGGTGAGAAAAAAATCAATGGTTCTTTGATGGCCCTCCGCATCTTCAGTTGTCTCGGGCAAAGATCGATTACCGCTCACTGAGAGAGTCAAAAATAGAATAAATGGTCGTGAAGAAACATAGACGAGGTATCAGCTTATTTGTTAGACATTCGCGTGCTTGGACTAGTGAAATGTGCTTGGAACTGTTACCTTGGCGACTTTGTCACTTTCCTGAAAAGAGATGGCTCACTTTGTAGTAGTTGGGGGCAGCATGTAACATACACACACACACTCTCTCTCACACACACACACACACACACACACACACACACACG